GCTTGCTTTTCAATTTTCAATTCAAAATGTCAGAATTAGCATTGAGTTTGAGGCTTTATAGAGTGGACCAAGAGCAAAGCCTTGTTATGGCTTAGAAAAATTCACAATTGAACCTGAATAAAATCTAAAAACATGACAATTTCTGTGATTTGGTTTTATTGTCGCCATTTTTGTTAATTGTTTTTCAGTGTGTCTCGCTTTATTCGTCTAGATTCTAGAAAGAATGAGCACAGATGCTACTATCTAGACTCTAGAAAGTAGACTGTAGGTGTTTTGTGATAGAATCTGAATTATTTTCAGTTCATAACTTTAGCCCTTTTCACAAAATACTTCAAAGGATTAAGGCATGTTTTAGTTATTTCCATGTACTTGTACAAGTACGATGCAGCAAGAGGTCTGATAACCATCCTGGATTACCAAGAGAGGTAGTCAAAGCCCTTTATCAGACAAAGGTTTAATGGGAGTCGTTTTCAGATTGATAAAGATTATACACTCTTTAATATAAACAACCAAATGCAAGTGAGAACACCCAGCCATCATGCCCTTCTGGAAGCAGATAAGTTATTTAACCCAAAGATTAAAAAATGTACGTGCAAAATGTGTTACTGTACCAGAACTGAAGCAGACAAAACCTTGTAAAAATATTTGCAGTCATTGGCTAATGATTGTCATTACCCACATGGAAACTTGTTCTGCAAAATTAATCAGGAACAAAGAGATGAATATTTTCAGACATATGGTTTAATGATTCATCACATTTTGATGAAAAAGGAGGAAGTTTGCAAGAAAAAAGAACACAACATCCTTCGAGGCACTGATGTCCAGCTCCTTCATGATATGTGAGAATGTTGGTCCAGAAGGGGACTAGGATTTCAAGCTTTTTTTTCTTTCTTTTTTTTTTACTGCTGGTTTGTTTGAATTTCCTCACTGTGACACAATAAAGGGTATTTCTGTTTTATTATGTTCTTCTTTTTTGCTGGACGTTTTAAATTGAAAAAAAGCAAATGTGTCATTTGAAGAGACCTATATTTGAACATCTAGAATTTAAACCGGAGGTCTTCAACAGGGGGTCCGTGCCCCTAGTGGGTCCGCAGAGGTACTGCATGGGGGTCGCGAAAGTTTTGATTGATTAGACTTTTTTTTAATATTTCCCCTTGCAATTTTTTCCACTAATTGAAATGTCTTTAAATACACATTAACATGAATTCAACACACTGTAGTAAACAGATAAATGGAGGCAGAAGATGTCTTTCAGTCATCAATGCTCACATTCAGCGACACACAGGAGCTCTTTCAAGCTGGACACCGTTTCATTCACAACACCTGTCCCATCAACCAGGAATCAGAATCAGAAATACTTTAATAATCCCAGGGAGAAATTACTTTCGTTACATTACTCTATATGTAATAGAGGGACTATAGGACCAGTTTGATATAACAAATTTTTCATACAATTTATATAATTAGGGGGTCCCCGCTCCATCTCACCATCAGTTAGGGGGTCCTTGGCCTGGAAAACGTTGAAGACCCCTGATTTAAACCATCAAGGCTTCATCAGCTCTTTAATGTGCCCTAAACACACCAGGGTGCATTTAAGAGCTTCATCATCATCATGCAGGAGAAGATCAAAAGGTCATGCAGATGCTTTGTTGAAGATGTGGCGCAAATTAGTCTACAAAGGAGCAATTACCTACCTGTCGCTGCAGTTTTTTTTTTTTTTTCTTTCCCTAAATCTCTTATTTGACAGTGACCTTTAACTGGAGACAGCAGCAAAGGTTGAACCCGTCAAGGGAATAGCTTTATAAATCAGTGACAGTGTTAGGAGGTTATGGTAATTTCAAATAAGCATCACAGTTTGGAGACAGTGAATTAAATCTCCCTTGAAAAAAAAAAAAAAAAAAAAAAAAAAAGACAGATCTTTGAATGAGTCACAGTCCCTGTTAACAGCAATTTAGTAAAAGTTCAGAAGAAACAGTCAAAATTCTGTGTCCAAGGAAAGAAAGGAGTGGAGAAAGGCAATGAATGGATCTGTCGGCTGTATTGTTAGATTATTATAATTTATTACCATTCCAAAGGTTAAAAAACAACATATTTCAAAGGTCTCTTAGTTGTATATCAAAAACAAACAAATGATCTTAGTGGGAGGAGAATCCATCTGGTGATCTATTTTTCCTGGTCATGCATTTCTGGCTGAGAGTCATAGTTCAGACTGCAGGCAGCTGTGGATGTTTCTTAGGTGTAACAGCTTATCAACAGTGGCAGCTACGATTCACACACTGTCTCCGCTTGTCAACCTTTGCTGATCCTGTTTACTGAAGGCTGCTTGTCATGTTAGGTAAAGTCAAAGTTTCTCTTGGATATTTAGAAACAACCTCAGTGAACCAGGGTGTTACACGGGGCTCAGCTCTACAATCTGCAGTCTTAATTTTGATTAATCTTTAATTGAACTTTATTGATCTCACACTGGAGAAATTCAGCTCTGCATTTAATCCATCTCCTTAGGGAGCAGGGGGCCGCCACTGTGCGGAACCCAGGGAGCAATGTGGGGTTAAGGTTCTTTGCTAAGGGACCCAGAGTGCAGCTGTAGGGATTGAACCATGTACTTGTAACCTTCTCAGAGCACAAGCGCACTGCTCTAACCACTAGTTCAACACCCCCACCTTAATAAAAAACATTCAATTGAGATAAAGCATATCAAACACAGCTTCACATGTTCTGCTTTGGTTGGGGAAAAGCAAAATATTAAACACAAATATTAAATGATAGAGCATTTATTGAGGACCTCAGGTAGACAGCTCTCATCTCTATCTCAAAGGGAACTGGGACCAACCTGGACATTGACCCTCTATGAGACAACAGTCTCTTTTGTTTCTGGCTTTCATATCTTATCTGCAACTCTGACCACAAACCTCACATACATTTTCTCCCTCTCTAGTGTGAGCAGGAAAGGTGACTCACTCTTGATAATAAAACGAAACAAAAGATTTCTCCCCTGCACAAACCACTGCAAAAAACGAAGAGAGAAAAAAAATGTACATAAGCTTGTTTTTTTCTTTTGAAAGGCAGCTTTTGTGCAGTGATAAAATGCTACATAACAGCCATGTACTGAAAACACAGAGGTGGCTGTGCTCAAAGAGCAGAGCATCACCAAGGTGCAAATGTTTATCACTGCTTTAAGCTGTGGTTTTCTTGTGATTTCTATTCAATAACGGTGAAAAAAATTATCAACATTTTTAAAATGCCCTCTCTTAACACTTTATTTACATTTGCCTCAGAGCTGATTTGAATTACTGCCCTTCAGCTTTATTTGGGGAAGAGGCTTTTTAAGACAAAGCTGGGTCTGTATATTCTGATTTGGTGTGTAAGGACATGATGGCATTTAAAGTTTACATGGTGGATGTCCTGGTCTTTGTCCTGCTGTGTGTTGGGGCCCCCACAAGTATGTTATTCTCTGACCCTGTAGAAAAAGTGGAACCTAAACCTCATGTCAAAACATACCATCCGTGTGCTGTATGTCTGCTCATCTTAAAACACTGACAAGAAGACAGTTACAAGGAGTAACTGAAGTACAGGAAATTAAAATGGAACATAAATGTAGAAGTACAAACTAAATGTAGAAATGAAAAACTTTTCGAAAGTCAGTCAATTAAAATGCAGGTTGATTTTTTGCTTTGTTTATAATATAAACTGAGCTTAAATTTTTGTTGCAGCTTTGACCTCAGTAGAGATTATTTATGTTGGATTATTTGTTTATTGTTTTTTAAACGTTTTTAAACATTTGAACAACGTCTAAACACTAAAATACTTTTTAATTTCCCCCTGATTTTTAATGACATCTGTCACATTCTATAAAAGCCAAACCAAATCCAGCCAAACAGATGGAGTGGGAATATAATGTAAAAGCATGAAATAAAACACTTAAAAATTAACAGCAAAAAATAAATAAATAAAATTAACTACATAAATACTGATTATTCAGTGGTTTTAGACGCGATTTCGTATCCAACTGGATATACACCACAGTCTTTCTGGTTTCAATGTTTGTAGCCACTAGGTGGCAGCAAAGATCACATTAGTCTGTAAACTGTGGAAGGAGTTTGCTACATGGAAAGTTTAGGGTTCCTCTTGATGCTGCTGATTTGATTGGTTGATTGATTAATGTCATTGATTTCACAGTGGAGAAATTTACTCATTACATCAGCTCAATA